AGAATGGTTTGGGTTGGAAGAGACATTAAAAACCATCTCATTCCCACCCCCTGCCATGGGCAGGGACACCATCCACTAGCCCAGGTTACTCTAAGCCCTGTCCAACCTGGCCTTGGACACTTTCAGGGATGGGGCAACCACAGCTTCTGTGCAGAGCTTCATCACTGTCTGACCAAAGAACTCCTTCCTAATATCTAATCTAAAAGTCCCCCCTGTCAGTGGGAAGCCATTCTTTCTTGTCCTGTCACTCCAGGCTCTTATCCAGAATCCCTCTCCAGCTCTGTTGGAGCCCCTTTAGGCACTGGAAGGTGGTTAAAGGTATCCTAGAGCTTTCTCTTCTCCAGGTGGACAGCTCTCTCAGCCTGCAGCTCAACCCATCCCAGGGCCCTTCCAGGGCACTGGTTCTCATGGAAACACAAAAACAGGACCTCAAACGAAGGTACCTCCAAATACTTTCCAGAGCAGAGCCACACACCACCTGCACCACACCAATGTGCTCCTCAGGTGCCACCAGGCTCATGGAGGTAACTGGAGTGGCCACAAAGATTTATTTTCCAAGTGGTTCACACTCCCACCCATGAGGGCTTCATCACTGTTTGACCAAAGAACTCCTTCCTAATATCTAATCTAAAAGTCCCCCCTGTCAGTGGGAAGCCATTCTTTCTTGTCCTGTCACTCCAGGCTCTTATCCAGAATCCCTCTCCAGCTCTGTTGGAGCCCCTTTAGGCACTGGAAGGTGGTTAAAGGTATCCTAGAGCTTTCTCTTCTCCAGGTGGACAGCTCTCTCAGCCTGCAGCTCAACCCATCCCAGGGCCCTTCCAGGGCACTGGTTCTCATGGAAACACACTCTCAGCCTGCAGCTCTGCACCATTCTTCCAGCCTGCAGCTCAACCCCATCCCAGGGCCCTTCCAGGGCACTGGTTCTCATGGAAACACAAAAACAGGACCTCAAACGAAGGTACCTCCAAAGCTACTTTCCAGAGCAGAGCCACACACCACCTGCACCACACCAATGTGCTCCTCAGGTGCCACCAGGCTCATGGAGGTAACTGGAGTGGCCACGAAGATTTATTTCCCAAGTGGTTCACACTCCCACCCATGGTATTTCTGGAATCTTTTGTTAAAACAAGAAGAAACCACTGAAATTTTAGATCATAAAAAGAAAAAAAAAATTAAATAGGAAAGCTTTTCAACCAATTTCCACAGTGACTTCTATAAACTCAAGATTTATTACAGTGCACACACCCACGTGCCCTCAACACGGAGCAAGGAATGCCCAGACACAGCAAAGCCAACGCAGCAACAGAGCCACTGAAAATGGAACAAAAGATCAAGGTAGCTGAAAATGTTCATGGTCCCTCAACAGGAAGACAACAAAGATGGTAACACAATCTGGAAACACCATAAAGGTGGCTTTGAAGTGTCACTTGTAAAACTATTTGTGTCTTAGGATTCCATAATTTGATGAATTGATTGCATTTGGGATTTTTTTATGGTTATGCGTTTATTCCCTATTCTCATGGTGGGTTACCATCTCTCTCCCACTTTACTGCCGGGCTTAGATCAGTTTTTGCACGCAAGCAGAGCAGGACAGATCCCTCAGCCACATCTTAAAGCCAGAGGTTTAGACCCTCCAGAGGAAGAAGAGCTCAAATCCATTCTTCACCCACATCAATTCCAAGAGGAGATCTTTACAGCCCTTTATATTTATTATTTACCACTCTAACACAATGTTTTAGCTCACCAACAGAACTAAAAAAAACCAGTTATTTAATTTCCATAGACTTGACTTCATTAACTTCTGGACAGGACTAATGTTTGTGGCCAGTGGGAAAAGAGTATTTCTACATTTTTCCATTTTCTGGTCTGTTAATTACAATTACTGAGAGAAGGAGACAGCGGTGAGATTTGTGAAACACAGCAGGCTGCGTTTTAATACTTTTGAAAAAAACGAGAGAAAATAATTTCTCTCTCTTCTTTGTATAACCCAATCACACAAAGTAATTCCACATACTTCAGAAGTCAGCATCACAATTTTCCTTAGACACGCACTTGGGCCAGCAGGAATTTAGTTGGAGAACCTCAGATTCGATCAGAAGTGATTTCTTTTCAGTGAGATGACAGGAACAGAAAACATGAAACAATGGAAGTGGGGTTGAGAGACAGGCAGATACACTCCTGAGGCTGGCAGCAAGGTGCAGGAATACTCTCCAAGCTTCTGAGGCAGAGATGGGCAGGGGTCCGATAGTTTTTGAGGATGGATAAGTGAGAAAAACCCAAATTACACTACTTGGCTAAGGTGGAGGTCAGTAAAAGTACATCTACACCTCTTAGATGCTGTAGGGAGCCCAGAAATCGTGTCTGCTGTTTGTAATGAATGTCAACAATTAGACAGAGTTCTCCAAACCCTACCTCAGCCCCTCCAATGCCACCAAGTCAACTGAGATTCCACCATCCCAAAAAAACACTGAGTTTCAGAGACACGACAGCTGACTCGTGACACTTGGTGGGAGAAACACAATGGGGAGAAAGAGCTTCCAGTTCAAACCAGAGAGGGACAACCACGAGTGCCAGCAGCAGGGCTGAGGACACGGGACCCCAGGACACGTGCAGCGTGTTTGTGGTGTTCCAGCCGCACGCTCCAGCATTTCAGGGGAGCGTGGCACAAAGAGGAACAGCTCCAGAGCTGCTGTTCCACGGAGCCAAAGGATGGAGAGGGATAAATGACCACAGCACCCAGCATTTTTAGCATTTAGAGACCTCTACACCCCCTTCCACACGCAGCTTAGCCAAAATACCAGCTGGATGCTGCTCCAAACCCAAAGAAGTCCAGGTAAACGTTTGATCAGCCACACAATGATTTGGATCTAGGCACTGAGTCAGACCCAAACCGGTTGGATTTCTTGCCAGCTCAGTAGTCATCCAAACAGGCTTCCTAGTCCAGCTACCCACTCCACAACAGTGGCACGAGGGAAAGGCAGTGCTGTTTTTTTTTTATAGGCAAAGCCAGCTGAAACCACAGAGCTTACTACTCCCTAAAAAACGCAGTACATCTGTTCCACAGCAGTGCCATAAAAGCATAGAAGATTAGTAAGTGCTGGCCTAACAATCTGGAAAGGGAAAAGGACCTAGGAGAGCAAAATGTTATCACTAAGTCAATAAAACAACATCTGTAAAGGACTGAGAACATACCAGCATTCTTGCACAACACAGAAAATGCTCCTGGGCTGACTTCTTGGTCTCCACTAAACCTGTCTGGTAACTCTGGGAACAGGACTGCATCATACAGGCTACGGGAAAAGTGGATCAACAGGGTGAGCTAAGGACAGGGCTCTGGGCTCGACTTTGTTTGTGCAGGATCACAGAGTGGACACGTGTTAGGCGATATATATGGTTTCACTTTTATATAAAGCTTGTGTTTACATCTAATATATCAGGCAATTACAGCCGGTCCCGGCACCAGGTTTGAGACAGCATGTCTATAATCCACGGAAAGCACTTTGTGGGATGAGCAGAGCAAGGATGCAGCAGAGCAGCTCCGTGTATGGGGCTGAGAATGTAAACAAAAGCTTTGTTTTGAGTTTCCGTAACTGACAATTGGCTTTGTGCATTTACTACCCGGCATTCGGAACTAATCCCTCATCTACCACACCGATCTCAAAGAGGGAGCAATTCCGCACAAGTCGACGGATTCGACTGAAAACGCCGGTGCGAGCCGCCAAGCCCCCGGTATTGTAACAGCTTTGTATAAACACGAAAACAGCAGAAACACAAACAAGCCGGGAGTGAGCCCTCGCCGCTCGTCATTCGCATCCCCAGCACGGTGACTTCCCCACTTAACCTCTCCTCCCGGTGTCATCACCGGGAACGCCGAGGCGGGGAATGCGGAGGCACGCGCGGACTCGTGTCACATGAGAGATTCACCGACATCAACACAGGGGAGGGGGAAAAAAAACCACCCAAACCGCCCCAAAATCCCAACACAACCATGCACGTTCTCCCTTAGCCGAGAGAGCGATCCTTTCTCCCACGGTCCCCATAAAAAGCGGCAGGGATGACACCTGCTCTGCACCTGGGCTGGGGTGTCAAGGGGCGGAGGAATGAGGGTCAGCAAATCCCTGGGGTGGTTTGGGGTGAAGGTCCCCTGCAGCAGTTTGGGGAGGTGAGATTGTGGGATGGGGCACGGGGAATGGCCCCTCAGGGCGGTGTGTGGGATGGGGCACAGGGCTGGCTCCTCCGGGGTCATGTGTGGGATGGGGCACCGGGCTGAACCCTGAAGATGGTGTTTGGGATGGGGCACCAGGCTGAACCCTGAAGGTGGTGCTCGGAATGGAGCAAAGGGGTGAACCCTCAGGGTGGTGTTTGGGATGGGGCACCAGGCTGAACCCCTGAGGGTGGGGTTTGGGATGGGGCACAGGGCTGAACCCTGAAGGTGGTGCTCGGAATGGAGCAAAGGGGTGAACCCTCAGGGTGGTGTTTGGGATGGGGCACCAGGCTGAACCCCTGAGGATGGGGTTTGGGATGGGGCACAGGGCTGAACCCTGAAGGTGGTGCTCGGAATGGAGCAAAGGGGTGAACCCTCAGGGTGGTGTTTGGGATGGGGCACCAGGCTGCACCCTGAAGGTGGAGTTTGGGATGGGGCATCGGGCTGAACCCTCAGGATGGTGTTTGGGATTGGGCACAGGGCTGAACCCTCAGGGTGGTGTTTGGGATGGGGCACCGGGAACGGCCCCTCGGGCAGGTGTGTGGGACGGGGCACCGGGAACGACCCCTAGAGCGGCTCGGCGAGCTGGGCGTGTGGGACGAGTCCCGGCTCTGTGCCCCCAGACAAAGCCCCCCGCCCTCTCCCCGCCGCTGCCCGGGCGTTCTGTGCGGGGACAGAGCCGGGCAGCCCCGCCGAGGCGACACCGGCCCTCCCGCCGCAGGTGCGGGCTGAGGGGGCCGAGGGGACCCTGCGAAGGGACGCTCCGAGGGGACCGGGGCCGCCGCCCGCCGCGTACCTCTCTGTGCGGTGCCGGAAGGGACTGTCGGGGTCGGGGCGCCCGCCCGGCTCTCGCCTCGCTGCCTCCCGCGGCTGAGCGGCTCCCGGCGCGGCTGAGCGGCGGCTGCGGGCACTGCGGGCCGAGAACCAGCGCCGGCCTGTTTTCCAGCCGCCTCCCCCGCGGCCCGCCCCGGCTCCGCCTCGAGCATCCCCCGCCTCCGCCTCCTCCTCTTTCCCCTTCTCCGCCTCCGCCTTCTGCGCCGCCTCCGCCGCTCCGCTCCTGGTCTTGAGCAGCTTGAACGTGAAACTCTAAGGATATCAGCGGCTGTTTGGTGAAGCAAGCGTGTTAAACCTAATTTTCTTCCTAAGCGAGACGGGTCTTTTTCACTTTTTGCGATTGCCGCTGTACTTCAAGGCTGCTTTGATACCCCTGCTCCGGGGCGTTCACCGAACTACAGAGCGGACCCAGTGTGGAAAATAGCTTCATTCCTGCACGAGTTTCTTCCTATTCCTGTCCAGACAATGCAATTAATCTCATCGGAGTCCACCTCGCAATTAAAGCCCAGCCTGTGGTCCAGAAAAACACAGCCCTCCAAAGTCCTACCCGAACACCGTCACAGTTTCTTATCTCTCACCATCTGGTTTCTGCCAGGCACTGATATCAGTGTTGACCCAGTTGCACGGGGCAGTGTGATATACCGAAAAAAAAAAAAAAAAGTTATAGAAAATCAAAAATAGGCATAGCTTTAAACTTTTTTCAGCTTGAAGACCCCTAAAAGCTAACAAAGGACCTTCTCCAACATATACATACATATATATATATATATATACACACACACTATAACATATAATGTATGTGCAATGTAAATATATGTATACATAATATATATATGTACTACATATATGTTATAATACACATATATATATTTATAAAAAATAAACATTTTGTATGTATCTATATATATTTTATATATACATACGTATACATACTAAATGTATATGGGACACCCCATCCCTGGAAATGTTCAAGATCAGTTTGGACAAAGCTCTGAGCAACCTGTTCTAGTGGAAGGTGTCCCTGCCCATGGCAGGGGGTTGGAACAAGATGATCTTTAATGTTCCTTCCAACCCAAACCATTCTGCAATTCTGTATATAATAAGAATACTCTCAAGTGGCTCTGGGCACAGAGCCTATGTCATGGAGGCTTCTTCCAAATGGATGGGAAAGCCAAAAAAATCCATTTCCAGTGTCACAGTTTGGGAGTTGGCACTCAGAGCCCTAAAGCAAAGGAAAGACGTCCCTGTTCCTTCTGAATTCGATGTCTTTCATGCAGCTGCAGGGCAAAAGTCTCCTCTCCCAGCAGCAGCCCCATAAACACAGGTTTTATCCAAGCAGCAGCCCTGTAAACGCAGGTTTTATTAAATTACAGCTTCTTTCCAAAAAAAGTTTGTGACCAGGATTGAGCAATGTGTAACTCACGGGTTGCGGGTCCACCATGGAGCTGGAGTGCTCAGACATCCCGCTGCCTTCCCATTAAACACTGGCTGAAGTTGCTTTTGGATGCCTGGAGGGAAAGTCTGGAGGAAAGACTGCGCCTTGGATGGAAATCAGTCATGTCTGCACGCTGCCTTCCAGCATTTTAAGGTTTTATAAAACATGCTCAGCCGCCTGCCAGAGGTTTGCACCTGCACAGCTGGGCTGAGGTTGCTGAGCCAGCCAAAACATCTGGGGAAAACAGCAAGAGTAACGTGGATTTGGGGTTCCCAGCTTCCCTCAGATATCAGACAACTGTGCAAACTTTTCAATTTCATATGTGCAGTGTTTGCAGGTTGTTTTACTCCAGACTTTGAGCTTCCCTGGCTGCCCTTCAGTGCTGCCATCACCACTGGACTTAAAACCCTTCAAAGCCTCTTGAAGCACCCAGATGCTGAAGCCACTGTTATGTTTGACAATCAGTATAGGAAAAGGGACAATATAGGAAGGATATAAAGCTTTTAAAGAACATCCAAAGGAGCAGCATGAAATTGGGGAAGGGTCTAGAGGGAAAGCCTTACAAGGGGTGGCTGAGGTCCTTCAGTTTGTTCAGCTGGAGACTGAAGAGAGGCCTCACCATGGTCTGCAGCTTCCTTAGGAATGGAAATAGAGGCAGCTCTGATCTGTGCTCTCTGGTGACCGCTGACAGGACCCAAACAAATGGCATGAAGCTGTTTCAGGTGGAGTTTAGTTGGATATTAGGGAAAGGTTCTTCCCCAGAGGGGGCTGGCACTGCCCAGGCTCCCCAGGGAATGGGCACAGCCCCAGGGCTGCCAGAGCTCCAGGAGAGTTTGGACAACACTCCCAGGAGCAGGATAGGATTGTTGGGGTTGTCGTGTGCCAGAGGGGCCAGAAATTGGAGTGGTCAGTCCTTGTGCATCCCTTCCAACTCAGAATATTCTGTGATTCCATGGCTACACACTGTTTGGGATGTGGTTTGTGAGCCTCCACCCAGGAGCCAGCCTGTGCCTGGTGGTGGGCTCTGCCCTCCCACACCTGCCTCACAGCCCCAGCACTGGGTGTCCACCAAGCCTACAGAGGGAAACAGAGCTTTGCAAATTAAAGGACTTCAGGGAAATGATCCATATCCCTGTTCTAACCAGCTCTATCTGGAAAGAGAGGAATTGGCAACGAGGCTGGAAAGAGCAGCCTTTCCCACCAGACCGGACAAAGTCAGAGGTGATAAGGAAATAGGGACAGTTTGATGGTCCAGCCTGGAGATCCTTATCTGCAGAGGATAGAAGGGAAGCCAGGATTTCCTGCCTGGAGTCCTCAGCATCTCACAGAGCAACACCTGCCCCTCAGGGCTGCCCCAAATCCAGGCCGTGTTTGTTCGTAGGCAAAGAGGAGCCACAAAGGACAGACTGGTGTCCCCTGTACCCACAGAAAAGCTGAACCATGAGGGATGCTTGTCATCCAGCAGCTGGGAAAGCTGGGGAGCCAATTCCTACTGAATGGCACTTCTATTTCCTCCACAGCAAATAAACAACTGTGCTGCAGGGCTGCACCAGCTCTGAGCTCGCCTGGCTGCAATGCGAAGGATTTGAACTAAATCTAGCAAGCTCTGGGTATTAGGGGTCCCCTGGGCTCTACCCTCTTTCTCCAGTTTAGATTTGGCAACAGAGTCAGCCCTAAACCCTAGGAATGCTTGTGAGGTGTTTTAAGGGTAGACAGAAATGCAATTACCTGTGGGAAAATAAAGCTAAAATACCTTGCAAACCTATGTTTAATGCAGTGTTCGATGCATTAAGGAAGAGTAATTGACAGATAGGACTGGGGCTGGTGCCTTTTGCAGACAGTAGTCCCAAGGAAATCTGATGAAATCCTAAAATCAGCATTTTTTATGCCTTTGACATTTGTTTTCTATAAGCAGACCGCACAGTGAATAAAGCATCTTTCCTGGGAAGCACTCTTGAAGGACAGATTTATGACTGAAATGTAAAGCAAATGGTAAAAGTCTGGAGAGCTTATCCTATAAAAACAGGGAGGACAAAGACCTTGTGCAACACACCTGAAAAGATTGCCCAGAGCTGCAATCCAGAGATGTAATCAATGTGAAGAACGAAAATTGAAGGAAGGGTTTTTTTGCACCACAGAATGGACAGAAATAGCTCAGGTCTCATGTCCTTCCACACACACCTTCAGATGGGGAAGGTATTCCAGAAAACAAATCAGGAGAGCTCATGGTGGGCACATGGAGGGTGAGAGGGTACCTGGGCACTCTGTGAAGTTGTATTTTTAGGTTTGGGCAGGTTTGAAGTCTGGCCAAGGAGATCTATTGGATTGACTGATGCTGCTCTTTCTTTTTTATTTTCTGCCAAGCAAAATAATGACTTAAAGCTATTAAGTGATTGTTCTCTAGATTCCTATTGACCAACATAATGCCCCATTCCTAGAACTGTCAGGTGAGATGAGCATTAAGCCTGGTATGAAGCTTTTTTTAGAAAAATAAGGATCCAGCTGGTTGAAAAAGAGAGCAGGAGTAGCAGGTAAAAATAAGCACCCCAGAGTACCCCTCTGTTCTCCAAAACACCACATTCCTGATGTTTGGCATAAAAATGTTTTGCCTTACTGTTGTTGCACAGCATCAAGCACCCCAGAGTACCCCTCTGTGCTCCAAAACACATTCCTGATGTTTGGCAGAAAAATGTTTTGCCTTACTGTTGTTGCACAGCATTTTTCATCCTCATATTAAAAATGTTGGGAAAAGTGCTGTTATTTACTTGAAATCAGGAATCTCAATACAAAGACCCCCAACATGAGCCACAGGCTGTGCTGTGCTTCAGAGGTTGCCCACTCTTGCCAAGATTTGGCTTTGGCATTAGGAGTGTGTCTGCAGTGAAAAGGCCTCATGAGTTTGGGTCAAGTTTTTGGGGAATCCCACTCAGACACTGACATCTGGCAGGACCCTCATGAAGTTAAAATATAACTTGAACAGAAAATATGTAAATCAGAAAAGGGGTTTCCAGTTTTGTAAGCCAGGCATTATTATCCTAAGGGTACCTGGGTACTGATTTTGGCTCCTGCTCTGGGCAGGGTGACACACAGTGACAAAGCTGCTTGTGTTTCCCTAAGCAGGACACCACGTACAGTCTGAAAAATTACCTGTGTTAAATAACTACAGCAACTCCAAACAAGCCCAGCTGGCTTTTCCATCCTCTGCACTATTTGTTTACTAGAGAAAGACTAATCCCTTTTACCTGCAAAGCAAACTTACCATGAAGGCCCACACATAATGCTTTATTATCTTTCCATCCGTCCATAATACAGAATTTCCATGATTCATTCACCCACTTGAGGAACACTTGAGCGCTCAAACAAAAACATACGTTCCCAGGAGAAAAAAAAAAGCCAAACCCACGTCCGGTGCAGGAGACAGAAACATTCTAACATAAATACAAAATCCCACCAGAAATTTTATCTGAAGCAAGGCTGTAGATCACAAGCACAACAAGGAAACACAGAGATCAAACAGTGTTGCATCTTGTGGGTGTTTTCCTCATTTTCCTCACAATCCCCTGACAATAAGTCAATTAAAGGTTTTACCAAGACTACAAAGGGAACCTGAAAGCCCAGCAGCCTCCCTTGGAAAGCAAATTCAGGCTACAGACAGTTTCAAAAGTCACTTCAGAGAGTCTGCCCTTTGCTAAAAAAGTCTTTGTGACCTTCCAGTCATCCCAGTGTAGCTGCAGCAGTTCATGGGAATGAGTAACAATGACCTTTGCTATTTGACAGGCTGTCCAAGTGACAGGGAGCTCTCTCATAAATATTTCCCCTTGATGATGATGATGAACAATCTGGACACAGAACAACCACCCAGCTCACCTCTGTGGTTAAAAATAAAACTAGACCAGGTGAGAAGGAGAAATTCCCCTCCCATGTTTGTTCATCCTTATTCCATTCTAGGAAGGCAATTTCTGGAATGAGACTGCTCAAGCAGTAATTTCTTCTTCCTGAGAGCTACAGGATTTGACACTTTCCTACATGGATTTCTGGAAGGATATAGCTTCTGAGTAAAGTATCCAATCTC